AATATATATTATATATAAAAGCCATATGGAAGTTTCTTAAATATAGTTTATTAATATTTAGCTTAAGAAACTTCCATATGGCTTTTTCTAAAGGCCTTTAGTGTTACTTATCCCTCTATATACTCTCTCCTTTGTCTTGCCTGCCCATTCTTCTCCCCACATTAACCCTATGCTATTATTCCTCTTTCCCTCTTTATATTAACTGCATTCTACCTCCTCTCTCATGAAGCCTCCACACAATTCATTAGTTTTCTGTTCTGAAAAAGGAAACATGATTATGTAAGATTTCAAAGCTAGGGGCTAGAGAGATGGCTCAGCAGTTAAGAGCACTAACTGCCCTTGCAGAGGACTCAGGTTCAATTCCCTGCACCCACATGGCAGCTACAAACCGTCCTTACCTCCAGTTCCAGGGGAATCAGACACCCTCTTCTGACCTCCACAGCACTGCATGACATGGGTGCACTCACAATCAAGCAACACACCCATACACATAAAATAAAAATAATATAAAAAAAAACTTCGAACCTAGCATCCAGCTATGAGAACATGTGACATTTGTCTTTCTTGGTTAATCCAACACTCCTACAATTTTATGGTCCTTCACTAGTAAAGGGATGCCCTTCTGTCTTCTTAACAGAACCTTTTCAGGCCAAGGCTGATGACTGATTTCCAGTAATGAAAAGAGGAAGGCTCTCAACCAAGATCTTTGTCTTTAGCAAAACTGTTCAAAAAGAAAGAGGGCCAGTGAGCTGGCTTAGCAGACCAAGTGCTTCCTATGCAAGCCTGACAAAATGAGTTTGATCCCCAGAAACCAAGTAAAGGTACAAAGGCAACTGACTTTACAAAGTTGTTCTGACCTCTACACATGCACCACGGCTCCCATTCATGCACACAAACATGGACACACACATGCATGCATACAATAAATACATTTTTTTAGATGAGGAGAAATGAAGACACCCCTAAATGAAGAAAGTATTTAGTGGAATTTCAAGTGGAAATTCATTACCACTAGATCTACCTTTCAACTCGTAAGGAAAACATACTAGATATAAACTCAAAGCCACCTAAGAATATAAAATGTTCCTATAACAGCAAACTCACAAATAGAAAAATTAGCATTATTATAATTTTGGTTCACAATTCGACTTTTTAGTCTCTTGCAGTATTTAAAATAGAAAAGAATAAAAATTCAGAAATCTGTTAGTGGGCACACAATATATGTTTGTGACACTAATGTTTAAAAGAGCAATAAAGAGACAAACCTTTG